ACCACCCTCCAGCAAATCGCCCTCCTCGTCTTCGGCACGTCTCACGAAAAAGCAATCCTGCTCACGCAACTCCACCCTCCTACTACGGGTGGCATCTCATCCTCGACCCTCAAGACCCCATTCCCAAGAATAACCCGCCCGCACACCCTCCTCTGGCTAACGGCGACCCTCTACACAACAGGCACAGACCTCTACCAACGCACCTACGGCCCCATCGACTACCACACCGCCGAACGCGCCTACACGGAGTTCACGCTGGTGCTGCAGGCCCTCACCCTCGGGGAGCTGTGGCCCGCGACCCGCCAGGGGTTCTGGGAGTACTGGGACGGGCAGATGGCGCGGTTGGCGGTGACGGCGGAGTCGCATCGGGTGGCGCGGGAGGTCCTGCACCAGAGCCCCCTCGTGGCGGACCTGTTTCCGCGGTGGATGGCGGGGGTGATGAAGCCCGTGTTCCGCGGGGTGACGATCGAGCTGCTCCCGCCGCGGGTGCGGGTGGCGTACGGGCTGAGGTCGTCGGCGGGGTCGAGGGGGTGGTATCGCGGGGTGATGGCGGGGTTTGGGGGCGCGGTGTATCCAGCGTTGCCGGGGTGGGTGCGGGGGTATCCTTTGAGGGTCTGTTTGGGGGAGTGGAGGGGCGGGAGGGAGGGGGGACGGGTTGTGTATTCTTCTTAAGGATAGGGAAGAGGAGGAGCTCTATGGCTTAAATGTTTTGAAGGTATCTAGGAATGAATGGTGTTCCAGAGATTTGAGGGGCGGAGTCTGTGTGAATGTCTTCGGGATTAACATGCTTGCTTGGAGTTTTGACTGGGATACAGCTATACCTATGAGAATTATGGTTGGCCTCTTTGGGGACTATCTCCAACTTATCGTCTCCATCTAGCAGTAGCGTAATTCACCATGAGAACCCGTTCACTCAGCAGACTCATCTAGACCAGGTCTTGCTTCGCCTATCCCTCCGCAATCCCCCCAATTCCCGGAGAACAAAACCACGCCTATGCTCCAACACAGCACGAACAATACCACACAAAATTCATACCCATTATATACTATAGTTAGACCAGCTACCTATACCACCCCCATCCCCCCCTTTGTCCCCGCAAAACCAAATCACGAACTCCCAATCAACGCATTCATAATCTTCCCCACATCCGAAATCAACTATCCCGCCCAAGTTAGCCCAGGCCTATCCCACCTCCTGATCCAACAACCTGCCCCCAGCTAGAGACAGGGCTCGGAGGGGACAAACTCACCGGATTCGCCATATCAATCAGCTGCGTCGTCTCGTTGACGAACCCCGGCGTCAGCAGACGGTCCGCATTGTCGAGGAGGCGCTGCAGCTTGTCGATGTTGGGCCCGGACAGCAGCCGCTGCAGGTTCTGCGGCGTGTCGCCCCCGAGCAGCACCGCGCCGCCGCTGACGATCGTCTCGAGCTTGCCGACCGTCTCCGGGCTGAGGAGCTCGGTCGCGCCTTGGAAGATGGTGGGGAGCTCGGAGAGGAGGCCGCTGGATGCGGGGGTGCGCGGCGCGATGGGGGTTGAGGCTAGTGGTTCAGTTGCTGTGGTGGTCGTGGCTGCGAGGGCGAAGGGGGTGAAGAGGAGGGCGAGGAGGTAGGTTTTTAGGGGCATCGTGGTGCGGGTGCGGGTGCGGGTGCGGCTGGGGTTGGGGTTTGGGTTGTGGTTGTGGTTGCGGGAGGCAGAGGGGGTGGTGGTGGTTTGTTTGGGCATTTTGGGTGGATTATGAGTTTTATGAGAGGAGGAAGGGATAGGATATTTGGGAGTGTAGAAGGGGGGATGGATTACTTTGCACAGAGGGGTAAAAGGGTTTATAGATCTAAACGATCTAAGGTTGAGAGGAGAGTGGTCCCTGGGTTGAGGGGTGATGGTTGCAAAGTTTATACCATGAATGGGGTGGTGGATTCAAAACAACGGTGTTTCATGTTGGAGCTTCCAATGCACTGGGCATTCCGAGGCTGATGGATATCATGTATCCATGTGAATTGACTGTTCGGAGGGCATGCGAACCAGACTTTGGTATTGTGGGCCTTCTCAGGGACAAGTGCTCTGTGCTTGGTCCCCCGCACCCTGGGCCTACCAACCCGGCCGATCACTCAAGGACATCTGGCAGACCGGAAATCAGGGTGGTTGTGAAAGAAAGAGCAGAAAGTGCGGTGCTACGGACTACATTTCCTCGTACGTATCTGAAGATAACCAGCCATTGCACCTCTGCTGCAACCAGGGTCATTCTGACGGTGAATGTGTTTCGTCCTTCGGAGAATGGCTCAATGGGGTAGTTCGCGATTCGACCGCGACCCTTGTATTAGGGGAGGAAGACATGACTGGTAAAAAGGTGGGAAATGCCCGTTTTTGAGTCTTCGGTTTGACGTTGGTGGGTGTTTCAGGTTGAATTGATTCTGAGGAATTGCTTATCCGGGTCTAGTGCGATCGACGCTCAGGGCGAAGTTTAATTAGATTAAGGTATGGCAGCCGATGACCAGCTTCTGGCCCACTCGAGTTTGTCGAGTACTGCCTTTGATTCCTAGTGCTGTGGAAAATCGATATCGATACAATATAAGCTTTGATGAGGTTCGTACAAAAAGTGCCTTTATGGGCAGAGGAATTGGCCGCGTTTTGGCTCTCGGCAGGTTTCGCATAGTATAGCGTAGCCCTGGACCAGGTGATTATAGATTTGACTGGAAGACTAGAATCTGAGTTTTTCTTCAAGTCCAGACATTAATGTACGGTCTAGGCCCCATAGTCATATACCAGTGATACGCCACCACAGATGAAGTAGTAGGAACGGACCTGTTCCACACCAAGATAAAGTTGGAAACCGGCATGAACTCCTGTTCACCACAAGTAGAACCCGTTTCAAGATGATCGAATTGCGGTCACCATTCGCATTTATGCTGTACATTCTCATGGATTGGTTCGAGCACATGGCCGCCATAATCTCCTAGAGAACTCGACCCGAAACTCTATCTCAGTCCCTGATCAACAAGCTCAAAAATGGGTCTAACCAGGCACAACACGCTCCTAACTTTGATTTACCCATGATTCAATGAGTTCGGAAAAGACAGACAAGCTCATTAAATCTCCATCAGTCTGCTACAGTTTCCGGTGCGATACCAATAGCACTGACGATCGGAGATATAGCAACACTTCCCGCCCGTGAGTCAACACAACGCACCACCTCTACTCAACCCAGCCAAATCCACACCTACAGAGTGCACAGCACTACGATGAAGTTCCATCTCAGCCCCATTCTGCTTCTCGCAGCACCCGCCTTCTGCGCCCCCGAGCCCACCCCAACCGAGTCGACATCACTGTACGGCCCCCTTTCTGCCACTTCCATATCATCTATGATCTGTGTGCAGAACCGCTGATTCAAACAGAGCACCCTCCAAAACCATCCCCACCCCCAACGCAGACCCCAACCCCAACCTCAACCTCAACTTGAACCTGAATCTCAACCTCAAACGCTCCCTCGCATCCATCGCCCCGCCTCCCCACTCGATCATCACCCAGATCCCGCCCAGCGCCCTCGCCGAACTGCTCATCCCCTCGCGCCGCAGCGCGCTGGCCAGCGACTTCAGCAAGGGCGCCACGCCGGCGTGGTACGGGGCGCTTCCGACGGAGGTGAAGCGGTATATCTCCTATGTCAAGGAGGAGATTGCAAAAGATGAGAACGAGAAGGGGTCTGGGTCGGTGGTAGCTGGAGAGGACGGGGTGCGGGAACTGGAGGTGAAGAAAGGCGAGGATGGAGTCACTTCGGGGGCGAAGACCAGTGGTGGCGGGGCTGGGTTGAAGGGGCGCGTGGGGGAGTCGGTGGGCTTAATGGTTGTGGTGTTGCTTGGATTGGGCGTTTGGGGTGGTTGGGTTTAGGAGGTGGGTATGCTTGGATGTTGGGGTATTGTGGGTGCTCGAATGGATTGTGATCTTGTACTTCGGTTTGTGTTTGTGGAGAGGGAAGATTGTCGAAGGTTGTGGGTGTACTTGCGAGTATCTGGGTTGAGTGGGTGTTTGAATATTGCTTTGATATCCAATCTGCGTTGACTTACACGCAGTGTTAAATTGACCAAGGGGGGAATGGGAAGACCTGAATGCTGAATGGCAAGCTGTTCAATCTGAATCTTGGTCGCTGTGCTATTCGTTCTCGGGAATATTCCAGATTTGAGGGCAGGGGTCTAGAAATATTTCTCGGGATAATCTCTTCATGACAGGGTACTCAAGACTTAGACTCGAAACCTCCATTTGTCTACCCCTACCTATATAGAAGATTAGAAGGAATTTGGGCACCAATGCCAGGCAGACGGTCGTGTGTGGAATTGCCTGCCAAACTCCCCGAAAATGCTTGATAGTCAGATTCTTGTCCTCTACGGGCTTCTTCACAAAAAGAATATCAATAATGCCGTCACTGTTTTGTACTGCCACGTATATGAGAATGTGGCAGTCAAATTCCCAGGCAACAAAACACAAGCGTGTGCTGGGGATGTGCCCGTCCTCGAAATAGGTATACCATCATGTGCCTGGTCGAGCTCTGAGGATCCACAGGCAACAAGATCATTAGTACCTTTGCAATGGTAGAGAATAGGCATGACCTTCAAATTGTCACCACAGGCCAACAAAAGCGGGCCACCTCGAAGTCCTTCGTGTCTCGAGTCCAGCCGTGTTAACCTTCTCCACTCCTGACCAGCCTCGCGGACCACTTCGCATAAGACACAAACTCTAACTTATCAAAAGGTGCTTGACATGCTTCCAACGTTGACCGGAAAGTGCGAAAGTGCGAAAGCAAGAGGTGATTTGTAAAGACCCCCGTGGCGACCGAAGTTCGGAGAGTAACAATCACAATTACAACAAGGAAGTTGCTAGCAGAAGAGAGGAAACTGCCATTGATGTCTCAAGTGGATAATCAGCTCACTGGATCGCCCTTGGCCAACTCCCTCTCTCCTTGCCCACCTCTCGGACTTTACCTTCTTTTGCAGGCACTATATCCCATTCACAATGGATCCGGGTTCTTCGCTGGATTACAACACCCGCCACGGTATCCCCAAGCCCGACATCCTCTATGCTAATATTGACTCTTACTTCACCGTCCGCGAGCACTTTCCGCCTCAGCCCCGACAGACCTTCGACCTCCGTTTGTCTGGACCCGAGCAGGAGCGACGAATAACAACGGACATTCTGACTCGGTGCATTGAGAACAGTCCGGATTCTGGTGAGATGGGCACGCAGAAACTCACTCTCCAGACCCTCAGGGTGCTACAGGTCCGCGATGGGTCGACTTCGCAGGTGGTGCTGGTTAAAATCATTAAGGGTGACCTCGCCAACATGCTGGTAGTCGCCAAGTTCTATGATCCGCTGTACTACAACCACCGGAAATCTGAAGTCGATCCGTTCCGCTGCGTCGAGGAGGAATATACCCGGGAGACGGCGGTTTACCAACACCTGCATCAGCATGGTCTGAGTGACTATATTCCCCAATTCTGCGGATCCTATTCGCTTGACATGCCAGTTCCCAATAGAGGCATTCGTCAGGTGCTTCTGATCCTCGTGGAGTTCATGTCGGGGTTCTCCATGGACCGTCTTCGTCTCGACCGACTCGCCGTGGAGACCCGGCAACACATCATGGAGCAGATCGTCAGAGCCGAGTCCAGATTCTACGCCGTCGGCCTGCGGCACAAGGGCCTTTGCAGGCGTATCATCATGGTCGAGGGAGTCAGGAACCACGACCCTACCTGTCGACCGTACATCACTATAACTGACTTTGGGCAAGCGTATATCGGTTGCGCCACTCGCAAATCTCGCTGATCGCATGAGGACCGCCTCCTCCCCATTTACATCACTCCTATCATCCGCTGGTCTTGCGGCTGCGTGTCAAAGAAGAACGATTTCGTAAAGTGGTGTGATTGGGACTGGAAGGACTGGCTGTGCAAGACATTCGCCAAGGACGATCAGCAACCATACCACTCCACAGATGGCCAAAAGGGCCCCCGACGATGTTCGTGGGGATAAATGCTTCGGCGACATATTTGGTGCTCAATATCAGTGGTGAGCTTACTTGCCTGCCTGCCCTATTTTTGAGCCAAATAGCGTCGATGCTGGATGGTGCTACTTATCCTATTGTTATTTGGAAACGCCTTTGATGTCGGAGATAGACCTACCTTCAACCTTCACCTTGTCCTCTCCTTTCACTATCTACACTGTAGCAGTGCATAGCTTTCATTGGTCCCCTACCGCCCATTTCATTTTGTTTTTCTGCCTTGCGACCTTCTTGGAAAAATGCTGACAAGCACTTGGACTCCATCCATAGCTCATATAGACACTAGCTAATTTCAAACCACGTTTATCCTCGCGCCTTTCTCAGACAGTTTGAGACTTCCTAGAAGTGTCAATGTATCTGCACTTCCAATCACACACCATGAAATGAGAAGACGGGGGCTCTGAGTACAGCGAGACCTGATCAATCCCGAAACACGACCGACGACCGCCAACTCTTCCCGCGGAGCTCGCTGGGGACGGAAGAAACTCATCCCAACCTGCACCCTTCTCGAACAGCTTTGTTTTGGGGCTACGAACGAGACCAATTTGATGAACCAAAAAAAGGCAGGGATGGCCTCTGAGGAGAATAGTCTCAAAGAGAAAAGAGATGGTCCCAGAGGGGCTCGAACCCTCGACTTTAACGTTATTAGCGTTACGCTCTAACCAACTGAGCTATGGGACCCAGTTGATATTTTGAGCTAATACTTGAAACTCATAGAGCAACGACTAATAGTGAGCTGTGAGGTTGAACTCGTTCAGTCCTCAACCGCTCATACCCGTTGTCGCCCGCCAGGATTGTTCCAGCGGGACTGAGACCAGTTCTTCTCGGACAGCGGCATTGCGGTGAATCCCAACATTCGAGATAGCAAATCAATCCCCTCTCCGCGGGCATTCGCTGGCCAGATTGGCCCACATACGTGGAGGGGTAAATGCAATGCAGCATTTCGAAGACCTTTCCTAGGTTGTCTGGCTCCTTTGGAAAGATGACGAGCAAAGGTCCGATGCAAGGGTCCAGTCCGCATGTTTGGCTTCCGGACTTCCGACCCTCGCGTGCTGGGGCCGAACGGACCAATGTGCATGCTACACCTTCAGGATCAGGCTGACCGCAGCGTGACCAGCTGCCGCAGACAGAGGGGCCGGGAGTGGGCTTTCGAGCACCACCCCCGCATTGCAGGGATACCAGAATCCGATGCTTAAGTGCTCCGGCGGATATTCTATTGGGCTACGCGGGTCAGAACGAGTGGACGCCAGCAAGGCTGACTGACGCAATCGAGTCGAGTTCTAGGTCTAGCCACGAGCTTGGTTGGGGTGGGAAGAGCAGAAAAGAAAAGAAGAGGAGGAGAGGGGCCAAGATAAGTGCTTACGCCTCGTTCTCTCTTACCCTGAAGGATGCAGAACCCGTCGGTGCACCTTATATACTTTGCAGCACCGAGCATGGAACTGGTACCTGTTTCAGACCAGTCGCGCCGCTTTTACGAGCGGGGTTGATGCCTGCCCCTATCCTTTGGGTATCCTGACTCCCTGAGGGATCTGATCCTGGGTTGATGCTGTCATTGGATGAGAGTCTGGAAAATGCTTTGGGCTCTGGCTCTGGTTGGAGATCCGAAGCGAGGATCATCGTGGGCGCGGTGGGCGGGATGACCCTGCTTACCTGCGGTAGGGGGTCAATTCCGTCGTCATCCGATCAGGCTGTCCGTCCATCAGTCGGAGTATGCGTGCGCCATTATCCATGATTCCTAAATTACCGATCATCGACCATCTTGGTCAGAAAGGTGGATCATACGTACCCGGCTTAACCTTATTGCCTGTTCATCTGTGGGTAATTGGGATGAATGGTCATTCAGCCTCATCATTGTTATCCTCATCGACATCAATCATCACGGTCATTGTTCCTGCCTGAGGCAACCAAACACGACGACCACGAGCGTGACGAGCCTCATTCCTGTTGAGCCGCGTGCTTCCTTCCTTTGTCCTTCTTTGACAGTTTCCATCCATCCCACTTGGTTCCACTACAACGGAGTACACTTCAACGGTTCAACCTGAAATGAGCGAGGAGTCACCCTTTCCCCACTGACGGAGTGGAGATTGAGGCTCAACTGGGCCGTCCGACAGTCCGGAACCTCTCGTCTAGAGTTTCCTTTCGGCTGTTGAATCCTGATCCAATTGCCCTCCCTTGCGTAATCCCGTCGATAGTGGCTCGGGGTTACTGGCTTGGCTTGCTGCTGCCAGGCTCCCAAGATTTCGGTTCAATGATTACTAGACTATTGCACACGTAGCTAGCTAGCTACCTACCTACTCCGTACCTAGTCCCGAGTCGCTAGTTCGTTGAGCCTCTTGCACTTGAGTCCCTGGACGACTGCAACAGGTTCCACGAGGGCAAAAGAGCGAATGGGAAGAGACGCTACTATTATTAGCGCCGATCGTTGAGGGCAGAGCAAGAGGTCGTACTGCTGACGGCACTGAAACGCAGACGCAGCCTTGTCTAGGGTTGTCCCCCTGACAATCACCCTAAGATACCGTGGATGAGTTAACCCGATATTGGAGGGATGTCATAACACAGCAAGACACAGAAATCATGCCTGATCTGACCGCCCTTCTAAATAGGGATGCTTTGAGTGGGACGGTCGATCTTCGTTGTCGCAATTGTGTTCGAGTCGGTCGTACTTGTGGAGCTTTGCGACTATTACTGTCGTTGTTGGTATTGTTGCTGCTGCTTGCTGCGACTGGGACTACGTCCTGGTCCTGGTGGTCCTGGTCCTTGTTGATTACTGCTGTCACTCGGACCCTCGGACCCTCGGTGACTTTTTAGTCTTCCTTTTTTGTTCCCTCGGGCGGGTCTCTTGCTAGAACTTGTAAGAGAGAGAAAGCAGAGAGAGGGAGTAATCAATTATTATTATTCCCACTCACTACTACACGCACTAGCTCACCTACCTTACTTTTCGCCCCCCCTCTCTTACTGATCTGAGCTGCTGCCCCGGTTCATTTTTCACCCTCCCAGGAATGAGACGGAAAACCAGCCACAGAGCCGCATCAGGACCCAAAAAGTACAAGTTCTCACCATGACGGCTGATCTCCCTCTTGACTCGGCCCAGGCGTTTCCTTTGCATGATCGTTGATTGTCATGGCCTGGGTGGATATACTTCAGCTGGATTAATTTTTTTTTTCTTTATTTCTTTTTGTCTCGCTCTCGATTGCTTTCTTGCCACTGCTCAGATCTTCAGCTGAGACATGCGATTGGCTCGGAATTGAACTTTTCAGCGAAATTCGACCGATTCTGTCTTGAATGAAGCTCGCCACAGTCCACTTGTACTGAAAACACTGCATACTTCAAGGCTTGAGGCTTGGTTGATTGCCTGCGCGGCACTGCAGCGCATTGCAAACATATTACCCGTTGTGGTTTGGCTGAATTGGGCATCGGGTGCCCCCTCGACGTCTGCCTTCCTAACTGGGTTACCAGATCACCACTCCATACTTTATCTCCATCTGACCGCCTTGATTTGTTTCTTCCATCCTTGTAGTCAACAATCCTTCCTCTTGTGATCATCATCGCTTGATTCTTTTTCCAAGGACCAGTGTCTGCGACACTCGATTGTCTCTTTCCTGATGGTGGTATCGGTCTAGACCTACAGTTTTCCTACCGTCTTGCGTTCCCCTTCCCTCCGCCGCACATGGTTGATAGTCCGAGATGGACACCGCCCATAGACCCTCCAAGAATCTGGACTGTATTCCCTACGATGTGTTCTATCAGATCGCGTCCAGACTGGGGTCCCAAGACCTGGTCCAGCTGGGCCGCGTCAACGGGGCCCTATACCGTCTCGTCCAGGACGAGAACATTGCCCGCAAAGCCATCGAGGTACCTCTCTCTGATCTATACGGACAGGGGCATGACTGACTGCCCTAGAATGAATTGCGTCATACCACCGAAGGCCAGGAAGCCATTGCCGCCAGAAAAGGGTACCGCAAAGCTCTGGGTCGGGTGTTCGACATCCGCGAGGCCTTTGCGACTGCGCAGCCATACTCTGCTTCCCTCCTCGCCTATGGCAGCTCATTTCTCTACGGTGGGGGTGCCCTGACCTACATCTACAGAGAGGAGATCCGCGTACTGGACGTTCACGGCGCAAGCTGCACTGAGCAAGTGTTGAACCTTCACCGAGTCGTGTCGCGAATCATCCCGTCCTGTGACCCGAACGAAGAAACGATTCACATCCGGCTCATGCAGTATCACGACTGGAATCTGGCATTCACCGTGGAGCGCGAAGACACGGAGGAGACCTGGTTGATAGCCGTGGACATGCGCCCCAAATTGGAGTGCCACAAGACAGGCCGATTGCGGTTCATCACTCGGTTGCCGGACACCCGACGGCTGTTTGTCCGGCTCAACACTCGGTACATCTACTGGGGAACACACAGCATGCTGAGCGCCGACGGGCATCTGCAATGGGTGGTCGAATGCGCGGATCTCCAGACGGGTCGCAACACCACCCGGGCGCCTCTGATCCTCGACAACTTCTCCGGACACGATATCTCCCAGAACGTATGTTTTGGCGTCTACGATGACCACCTCTATGCAGTGTCGACGATGATCGGCCACGAAGCGGAGGAGATTGACTGGACCTCCTACTATGTGTGGCTGTGCGTGTCGCCCACGGAGGAATCCAAGCAGAGCACGATCAACTTCAAGTGGCGGCGGCAGCACCGCGAGGGCCCCGTGAACGACACCTGGTCGGATCTGTCCCTCCGGGTCGACGAGGCCACGAAGCAGCTGATGA